AGCATTCGCTAAGCCCGTAAGTCTTGAATCATGACCCCCAGGGAGGGACAAATGCGTCCCCATATTCTGAGTTTGTGTCTGAAGGCCCTTCTGGAGCGCCCCCCGCCCCCCAGGCTGGGGTGGGTCCTCAGGACGAGGGCCCAGGCGTGTGCTTTCTGTGTGCGCTGCTCTTAGTGCCGTGACTCGAGCATGGGCCCACGGGGGGCAGCGAGCGGGCGCCGTGGCCATGGGATCCCATGGCAGGTGCGGCGGCGGACGCAGGCCCGAGCACGCCCACCACGGCTCCTGTGTCCCCTGTCCACTCCCCGGTGTGGTGGCTCCGTCCCCCAGAAGAGGCTGACGCGTGGCACACGAGGGGTGGTCGTCTGTGGAGCCGAGCCCCGTCTCCTCTGTGCACAGACAGGGGGCCGCGAGGTGGGCGGCACCTGCCAGACGAGGCTGGGCCGCTGGAGCTCAGGGTGGGCGCAGCAGGACCCCGGGGGCACAGGGGCTGGGACGCGCGCACGACAGGCGGGCACAGGTGTCTCTTTGCCCCTGCCGCCCCCGGGCCTGGACTCCAAGGGAAGCTGTTGTGTAAGGTCCGACTCCTCCTCGGCGACTCCACGCGGTGCCTCCTTCGGGCGGCGTCTCGAGAAGAAGAGGCCTTTGGTGAGGGAGGCTCCCGTGGCTGGCTCTGGCCTCCTCCGAGGCTGGCTTCGCACCGCTAGGGTGCTAGGGGCTGAGGGGCACAGGCGTGGGCATCGGCCAGCCTAGCCGGGCGGCCTCCCCGGAGCTGCCAGCCTGCCCTGACCGGGGCCCAGGGGCGAAACCACCTTGAAAAGCGACGTCTGTGTGAACAGCCGGGGCAGGCCATCGCTCTGTGGCCGCGGGGGGCCGGGGCACCCCGGCACGCTTCGAGGGCACGGCTCTCAGTTCATGGCCTTAACAAATGTTTTTTTTTATATATATTTATTTGAAATAGGTTTTTCAAAAAGCGTGATTATGTAAAAGGAAGATTCTTTAAAGCAGTATTCCAGAGCCACATTTAATTATAAATAAACCAGTATCCACATCAGATACATAAATAATGTCCACGTTAGGAGATCATAAAATCATTTTAAAGAATCGGTATTAATAGTGAAGAAGTTGATGGGGAGAACCTGAAAGTTCTGTTGAGGTATTTATCAGGCCAAGCAGAAACTCCTGTCCTTCAGAGGGACATGCTGCGCGAGTCATCTTCAGGTAATGGATCCTCCGTGGAACATCCTCTGACTGCAGCTGGGAAGCCCGGTGGCCTCCGTCGCCCACGTCTGCAGGACGCCGTCTGCGGAGACGCCGCGGCCCCCAGAGCCGTGCTCAGGGCAACCCTCGGGGAAGCCAGCCTGCCCGACGCCGCGACTGGCGACCTGCAGGGACCGGCCCGGGCGCCCTGCAGGAACCCCTCAGGAGCCTCCCCGTGGAATTCTGGTTCTAGAGCCACCCACAAAATGGGGGGAAGCCCTGACTGCCCGTCCAGAGACACTTGGCATGGAGCATCTTTTTTTTTTTTTTTTTTTTTTTTTGGTACGAAGCGTCTTAGCAGGCGAGCTGGGGTCTCCCGTTGGTGCAGAATACCCCCGCCCCCCCTCCCCCCATCAAGGGGGCACCGCGGCACTGGCCGCCCAGGGTGGGGAGGGGGCAGGGCTGCCTCGAGCTACTTTGACACCGCCTCGGAAGGGAAACAGCTCCTCCGCCTAATGTCTTCATCTGTCTGCTCCGAGAGGTGGCGGACGACATGCGCAAGAGGCCGGACGCTCGCAGAGCTGGGGACCGTCCTCCAGACGCGCTGCGTGGTGGCCTCCCCGCCCCGGGGAGCATCTCCAAGCCTGGCAGCAGGGTGGCAGGGGCCTCCTGGGGCACCTGACGGCGGCGTGGTCACCCCGGGGGGGCTGGCTGGGTCGCTGGGGGCAGGGCTGGGGCGGGGCGGGGTAGGGAGCCTGCTGAGGGTGTCCGTGGACGTGCAGGCCGTTTCCAGCAGCGGGACACAACCTCCGACGCTCGCGTGCACTGGCAAGCGCACGTGGTTTCACTGCGGGAACCCGAGAGGCGATAATGGGGTTCCTCTTTGGCTGGGCGGGAACCAGTCGAGTCCTCAGGCCACCAGGTGGCTCCACCCTCTGCCTCGGACCCTGGGGGTTTCCTTGTGGAGCTGTGGCTGCTGCTGGGTTGTAGGGACAGCGGGGTCCGTATGCACCAGCCTGGGGCTCTGGGGCTCACCCTGGTGCCGCGGGGATTGAAAACACGGTTTCAAACTTAGGCTTCAACACCGTGTCCTGCTCTAGGCCTTTTCTTCCAGTCCATGATATTTACGAGGACAACCCTTCGGGCTTAGGGTTTTGCTCATTCTCAGGGGTCAGGCTGGAGACAGAAGCAGGAAGTCCTAGGACGACTCCTCAGGCCACAGCGACACGAGCTCAGTGTTTGAGGCCTGCGGTCCCGTGGGGTAGAGAAGTGCTAGTGCCCAGACACGTGCCGGGCTCTGTTTGGCGTTAAGGTTCGCGTGTGTGGGTTTGCCCTTCAACGCTCTTCACCCTTTCCTCCCACCCCAACCCTTCAGCCTCTGTTCTCTGTTTTGATGACCTTTTTTTTTTTAAAAAAAAGATTTTATTTATCCATGAGAGACACAGAGAGAGGCAGAGACCCAGGCAGAGGGAGAAGCAGGCTCCCTGCAGGGAGCCCAACGTGGGACTCGATCCCGGGGTCACGCCCTGGGCTGAAGGCGGCTGCTCAACCGCTGTCCTGTATCTGTGATATTTTGCGTAAGATATGTTAGTGCATCTCAGTTTCATCAGTTTCCCCTAACGGCCTCGATGGCTGAGAAGGCACCGCTGCATCCTTGGGAAGACGCCGTGAGCCTTGCCTTGCCCATACACTGCTTCCAGCTCTCCAGCGCGTTGCCACTCCCTCTCACCAGGGGTGGGGGAGGCGGGCGCTCACGGCCACCTCGCTGGGGACAGGATGCACAGCCCTGAGACCGCACCGCAGCGGGGCTGGGTGCCAGCTGAGTAAACACCGGGGCCGTGTGTCCTGCTGCCTCCTCCCTGACCACACGCCCCGGCAGCCCAGGGTTTCAGCTCACTCAGCGTTTCATAGCCCGGCATTTCCATGCGTCCCGGGATGCACCCTCGCACACAGCGAGTGTGCTGTGGACGTTGCTGTTAAAGATTTCTGGAAAACAGACGGTGGGGGGGGGGGGGTCGGAGAGAGAATCGAATGTTTTGAATGTTTTGAGTTTCCAACCAGAGGACGCTTACTGCTAAAATAGCGGGAAAGCTCTTTAGTGACTCCAGGGAGGGAGGGCAGGGAAGCAGGGGTACGTGCTCGACCCCGAGCAGGGAGGTCGGGGAACCGTCTCAGGCAGCAGAGGCAGAAAGCAGGGGTGCTGGGGGGCTGCTTAGGTCTCCACTCACCGGAGAGGCTCGCACATCCTACCCAATAAGCTGTATTTGGCGTCTTTCTTGCCCGTACGCTCTGTTTTAGAAGCTAGAACACACCTGAACTCCCTCCCCTCACGGTCGCGGTGAGACTGCTAAGGCCCCCCTCGGGCTGGGGCGTCTGGGAAGGTTTTGCCAATTTAGGAAAGATCGTACTTTATCCTTCATCCGCAGGTGCTCATGTCTGCTCCCATCTCACGTGTATCCGTGTGTGTTGTTTTGTGTTTGTTTGGCTCCGGCTTCTCTTCGGCCACACACGGGCCATGTGGAGAGTCGCTTCCCTGAGGTTTCTCGGAGGTACGGTTCCAAGAACGAGCGGCTCACACAGATTTCAGGGTTGAGCCTCTGAGGCCAACCCCACAGAAGAGTCCTCAGCTCCTTCCTCCTAATATTTGTTGTAACTTAATTTGAAATCGACTGGAAAAGACTGTAGGGAAATGTCACATGTTAATACAGTGAATGATGTTAATTAGGCTTTCTCACCGGACGTTCTTCACATACACATCTCATTCTGTTGAAAATAGGAATTTGTTGGTATTTGACTGCTTTTTTTTACCCGCAGAATGAGCTGTTTTGTTTTGTTTGGAGGAACCCAATGTTTCTAAAGCCCTTGGCTGGGGGCACCTGGGGGCTCAGCGGTTGAGTGTCTGCCTTCAGCTCAGAGCGTGACCCCGGGGTCCTGGGATCGAGTCCTACATCGGGCTCCCTGCAGGGAGCCTGCTCCTCCCTCTGCCTGTGTCTCTGCCCCCACCCCCTGTGTCTCTCATGAATAAATAAAATCTTTAAAACCAATAATAAAGCCCTGGGCTGAACTGGGGTCTCCGTCATGGGCCCACAAACAGGGCAGGAACAGGGAGAGGGCATTTCTAAGACCCCTGAGTTGTTCTGTTTGTCTCACTCATCCAACTCTCCGGCAGTGAATAGTCACGATCCCCTTTCCTGCCCATGTTAGTCCCTAACCTGGAAGTGGGGGGCAGGGGGGGGCAGACCCCCGTGAGCGACAGAGAATGACCCCACTGAAAAATGCACATTCAAACACCCTGTCTCTCTCCCACAAACAGGAACAAGAAGAGTGTGGTGACACCATATGGAAACACCTGATGTTCCAGCAAAGGAAGAGGCCCCTGCCCCTAAGTGAGGAAGGCCAGTTCTCCGGCAGTCATGGTGTTTTCCTAGCACCCAGCCCCCCTCCGCAAGCGAATCACCGACAGCCCCTCCCACGGGGGTGAAGAGTGTGGATGCCCAGACACAGACTACCTACACCCTAGTCGCCCATGGGAGTCTTACAAATAAAAGGGAGCTCTGTGGGGTGTGCTGCACGGGGCGCGGAGTTAAAATCCCAGTGCTGAGGTTTAGAGGCAGCCTGCCCTGGACCTAACTGAAGGGTGTGCCCTGGCTCCTCTTAGCCCTGCTGGTAGCTCAGCGCCGGAGACCGACCTGCGCGGGGCCGAGAGGCCAAGGCTCCGACGGAGGGAGCATCGCGGCCTGGAGGGAGCATCGGGGGAGCATCGGGCCTGGAGGGAGCATCGGGGAGCATCGGGCCTGGAGGGAGCATCGGGGGAGCCTCGGGGACCCCCGGGACGCGGCCTGGACGCCTGGAGGCGAGGCCCACGGACCCCGAGTCCGAGGCTGGCGGGGGTGCGCGCCCGGCGCACAGGCCCCTCGTCGCGGGAGCCTCGGGACTGTGCACCCAGAAGCGGAGCCCGGGAGCCTGGCCCAGGGCCCGCGGGGCCTTGAGGCGCGCGGGGCAGGGCCGGTGATGCTGGGCTGCTGAGCGGGCGGGGCGGCGGCGGCCAGAGCGAGGCGCCCATGGAGCCCCCGCTCCCGGGGCGCGGGCCCGAGGCCGGGGGCGCGGGGGCGCAGGGGGCGCGCGGCCAGCCCGGGGTCCGGGGCGGCGTCCCCGCGGCTCCCGGAGAGGACGCGCAGACACCCTGCAGCCTCGGCGCGTCGCTGTGCTTCAGCTCCGGGGACGGCTCCCCGCCGCAGTGTCGCGCCGCCGCCGCGGGGGGCGCAGCGTCCTCCCCGCCCTCGCGTCGTAGCGGCCCGCGGGTGGTGGAGCGGCAGGGCGAGGTCGGCGGCGCGGGCGCCGCGGCGCCCGGGGACCCCGAGGAGTGCGTGTCCCCGGCGGAGCGCGCGTCCCCGGAGGAGCGCCTGTCGCCCGGGGAGCCCGCGTCCCTGGAGGAGCCCGCGTCCACCGAGGAGCGCGCATCCCCGGAGGAGCTCCTGTCGCCCGCGGGCACCGAGGAGCTGCTGTCGCCCGCGGGGCCCGCGGGCCCGCGGCCCGGAGGAGGCGGAGGAGCCCGGGGACCTGGCGCCCGTGGCCCCCGGCGTCGGGCCCGTGCACGGGGAGCCCGACCTGGTCATCGAGGTGTCGGGCCGCCGGCTGCGGGCGCACAAGGCGGTGCTGGCGGCGCGCAGCGACTACTTCCGCGCGCGGGCGTCGCGGGACGTGCTGCGGGTGCAGGGCGTGGGCTGGGCGGCGCTGCGGCTGCTGCTGGCCTACGCGTACAGCGGGCGCCTGGCGGGCGTGCGGCCCGACAACGTGGCCGAGGTGGCGGCGGGCGCGCGCCGCCTGCAGCTGCCGTGCGCCGCGCAGCGCGCCGCCGAGGCCGTGGCGCCGCAGCTGAGCCTGGCCAACTGCTACGAGGTGCTGAGCGCGGCCAAGCGGCAGCGGCTGGCCGAGCTGCGCGACGCCGCCTACCGCTTCATGAGCGACCACTACCTGGACGTGCTGCGCGAGCCCGGCGTGTTCGGGCGCCTGTCGGGGGCCGAGCGCGACCTGCTGCTGCGCCGCCGCCTGCGCGCGGGCCGGGCCCAGCTGCTGGCCGCGGCGCTGGCGCTCGGGCCGGCGGGGGCCGCGGGGGCCGCGGGGGGCGCGGGGGCCGCGGGGGGCGCGGGCGCGCGCGCCGTGTTCTGGCTGCACGAGGCGGCGGGCGAGTGGCGCGAGCTGACGCGGCTGCCCGAGGGCGCGGCGGCGCGGGGCTGCGGGCTGTGCGTGCTGCACAACTACCTCTTCGTGGCGGGCGGCGTGGGCGCGGCGGGGCCGGACGGGCGCGCGCGGGCCTCGGACCGCGTCTTCTGCTACAACCCGGCCACGGGGCTCTGGAGCGCCGTGCGCCCGCTGCGCCAGGCGCGCTCGCAGCTGCAGCTGCTGGCCCTGGACGGACACCTGTACGCCGTGGGCGGCGAGTGCCTGCGCAGCGTGGAGCGCTACGACCCGCGCGCCGACCGCTGGGCCGCCGTGGCCCCGCTGCCGCGCGGAGCCTTCGCCGTGGCGCACGAGGCGGCCGCGTGCAACGGCGACATCTACGTGTCCGGGGGCTCGCTGTCCGGCCGCCTGCTCAAGTACGACCCGCGGCGCGACGAGTGGCAGGAGTGCCCGAGCAGCAGCAGCCGCGAGCGCGCGCTGGGCATGGTGGCCCTGGGCGGCTCCGTCTACCGCTTCGACCAGGGCGCGGCGCGCGGAGACCCGCAGGCGGCCGGGGCGGTGACCGTGCTGCGCTACCACTGCCTGGCCAAGCGCTGGAGCCGCTGCGCCGCGCACCCGCCGGGCCTGCCGCCCTTCCGCTGCGCCGCGCTCGGCCGCGCCATCTACTGCGTGGGCCGCGGGGGCACCTGGCGCTTCGTGCCCCCGCAGGACGGCGAGGGCGAGGGCGAGGGCCAGGGCGCGGGCCGGGGCGCCACCTTCGAGCCCGCGCCGCTCCGCGCCCCCCTGGACGCCCGGGGCGCGCTCGTCCCCTTCGTGCTGCACCTGCCGGAGGAGAGGCCAGACAGGGGCGAGGATGGCGCGGCCTAGGGGGGCGGCGGGGGGAGCCCTGGGCACCTCCCCGGGGGCGCCCCGGGCCGGGACGGAGGCCTGCGGTGGGCGCTGTCCACCGGGCCACCTGGAGCTGGAAGCTCGTGCGCGCGCGCGGGGATTGTTGCAACGCCCTCGTGCCGAAGGTCAGCTGCCCTAACCTGCCCTCCCTGCAGCCCCGCTTTGCTTAGCCCGGTCCGCGGCGTCCAATGTCAACGTCTGTGCAAATAGGTGAGCTGCAAAGAGGACACGAGGCGGGCATCTGGCGCAGCAGGAGAAGCAATTGGAGCATCAAGCCTCAGGACACAGGGAAGGGGTGGGTTCCAGAGTGTGCCCACGGGGAGTCCGCAGCCCGCCCGACGTGTCAGTAGTTGTCCAGAGTGTGTCCCCGCCCGGACAGGGCCCCTTGCACCCAGCTCGCGGCCACCAGCACCGGGAGACCCCGAAGCAGGCCACGCACTGTGCGCTGGGGGTCTAGACTCCTAACCCGTAACCAGAGCTCCTCAGATGTTCCTAACATAGTCATTTTGCACTCAAGTGTGGGTTGGGTGAGTCCCGGATAGCCCAGCACAGTGCTGCAGAGTGGGCCTCCCACTCCTGAGGTGGGCCTCAGGAGCGGAGCCACCTCACCTGTCAACCCGCTCGGGTCACACGTCGTTAGGGAAGGGTGTTAGTGATTATGTCGGATGTCGTGGGGATGATTTACTCCGGGGAGCCGAGCTTGAGTAGGAAACCCATAGGTGCTCAGCTACCTTCATGGTCTATAACGAGCTCAAAGACACGATTACCACCCCCCCACCACACCGCGGAAGAAGGTTAAAACCACTCCTGACGCTTCTAAAGACGAAGGTGTGGGCACATTGGGAACCCACTGCGCACGACGTTCTTTCTTTTTTCTTTTTTTTTTTTTTTTTTGCTTACAACATTCTGAGTACATATTAGGTGACCCTGACCAGGGAAATGGATTTTTACAAACGCGACTCCAAGAGGATGTGGCGAAGGGACAAGGAGCATATTGACATAAGGGGAAGTAACTATTATAACACAATTGGCAAGGAAAGTACGTTTTTCTAATTGAATTCCAAAGCAGCCTAATAGAAATTAGCAGGAAACTCGCTACTTCGAGAGGACAAAGCACTAACAACAAATCAAATGATTCTTCCTCATCTGTTATTAACATTTTACTTTCCAAGTAGATGTAGGCAGAGCTTACTATCTACTACACATTTCTGGCTAAAACACATGCTCACAAATAGAGGTGAACTGATTTGGATTCTGAATCCAGTCGTTTTTTTTATTAAAATAGGAAAAGCGCGCGCTCAACGTCTGTGGTGCAGGGAGACGGAGTCCGGCACCCTTAGTGCTGTTCACTTCCTAACCCGGCGAGGGGGTGCTGACGTCCTGTAGTGTCGTGGGTTTTGGGAAATACGCCCTGCTTTTTTGAGAGTCTGCGATTATGAAAGTCACCGGTTGAGTGTGTTTAGAAACGGCCAGCTCGCATCTTCACGCGTGTGCCAGAGGAACGGAGTTCCCGATTCCCGTTGGAGCACATCCTGGCGACCGGCGTGTTGGGACGGCTCGCGAGCCGCGAAGAGACCCCGGCAGCCTGGCTCACCTCATCGTCTTAGGAAAGAGGGACACACTTCCCACCGCCTGCCTTGGTCGGCCTTCTGCGGGAGTAGAAAGCAGAAATGGCAGGAGAAAGAGGAATTTACAGCAAAAGGGGACAATGTCGTTTTAAGGAAAACGTACGCCTTGTATTGCAGCACGTCTTCCTCTGGAATATTGTTATATTTGTGGCAAAGCTTTTATATGAGATAGAACCAGGCTAATATTTTCATCCCGTAAACCTCGAATTCATAAAATACTATCACTGTGATTTTGCTTAAGAAATCGTCCCTGTGATGTTTGCCGTTTGAAAGCGAAGCGCGGTGCGGGTGGGCCTGCAGGGTAGAGCCGCCCGCCCGAGCTCAGGGAAGCGCCGGGGGGGCAGGTGCGCACAGCCTCGTGGCCCCGTGCCCAGCTGCACTGCCGTGTGCGGCGCGGGGTTTCATGGAAAGAGGCCCGTCCTGGACATGGCCTCACTGCCTGTGGGGCTGGCCTTGGGGTGCCGGGGGTCGCCCCAGCGAACACCCAGGGAGGCCGGGGAAAGCCAAAGGGTGAGTGGAAGGACAGGGAACAGTGTCTTATTTCTAAATAGGGGCACCTCATGAAGACAAATGCCAGGGGGCCTGCCATGCCCTGGGGACCAACCCCTTTGGCGTTGGGGGCCATTATTTGGAGTTGTAGGCACAAGGTTTGCACCAGTTCCACGAGCAGAAAAGCCACCCCTCTGGGCTCGTGATGTGGGGCGCAGCTTGGTGGCAGGCGGGGGGGGGGGTGAGGGGCAGGCCGTCCCGGCTGAGACTGGCCCCTGACGGCTGGCGTGCCAGGGACAGGCCTCTTCCTGCACGGGGTTCCGGGGGTGCGCCCAGCACTGCGAGGGATGCCTTACTGTTGTTACTCACTTGTTACGTGTTTGCTGTAGACGTGTTCCCGATGAGCGATCTGTCAGAGGCAAATGAGCCTACGGGGTGTAGGACGACCGTCCGTAATTCTGGTGACATTAACCCCGGCACGCGGACGCTTGCACTGACCTGAAGAGCAGCGGTGTTGTCCGGAGACCGCCTCTGTCAGCGGGGGGCCCACTCCGCTCCGCCCTCCGGGATGTGCTGGAAACCCGGAGACGCTGCTCGGGGCACGTGTGTCTGAGGCTGTGCCCGAGCTCCCCGACTGTGTCCCACAGCCAAGGCGGTTTCAGGCCACAGCGCGCTGCACCCCTGCTCGGGCCGCGTGGACGCACAAGTGCTGTGTCGTGTTCGCGCTCGTTTTACTTGCTTTCCTAGCTTCGAAGGCGTCCGTTCTTGGGCATTAAAAACACTCGCTGTTCTCGGTTTCCCGCCCCTCTGAGATGGTGTCTGTGGGAAGGTGAGGGACCGCAAGCAGGGTGCCCGGGCTCCCGCGGCGCCCGCTTTCCTGTGGCTGCTCCCTGCCCCTGCCAGCGGGGCCCAGCCTCGCCCCCCCTGCACCCTGGGCTCAGGGCGGCCCGTGGGGAGCTGCGCTGCGGGCGGGTGCTCACTCTCCGGAGACCACAGCCCGCCAGGCGCTTGCAAGCTGTCAGTGGGCCGCAGCACCACGTCCAGGACAGACGTCGCCGCGCATGCAGGGAGCGTGTTAGCGCTTCGGGTTTTCACACCCAGGCCCGGTTGCTGTGAACCCCTGTCCATGTCCGCTTATGCCGAGACGAAATAAACCATCGGAAATGCAGTGCTCCTGAGTGTGCGTGGTTGCTGGCTGCCCCCGGCCCCCGCGGGCGAGCAGCGGTGGGGCGCCCCTTCCCCCGTCCCGTAGGAAACGTGCTCCCCGCAGCGAGGCCCGCCAGCTGGCTCCCCCCTGTGAGCGAGGAGCGTGGGGACTCCCGAGGGTACTCCGGGCTCCCACGTCTAAGCTCGAGGCTCTCGTCTCCCGTCGCCGGTCCCCTGGGCCCACAGGTTCCGTGCCAGCCACGCCTCCCAGGCCTCGGGGCTCCCTTGGCCCCGACCAGTGGGAAGTCCTAGAGCCAAACATTCCCCTTCACAGTCTGCTCTCCCCATGAGCACGGACCTGTGTCACTGTTAATTTGTAGGGTTCTTTAAGAAATTATTTCTTTTCCTCTCGAAAATATTGTTTCATAGGGTGGGGGGTGGGGAGGATGCTGCTCAGAGAATTTCCTTAGGCGGAAATTAGGGTGGAGGCTCCCTGGCCCCAGCCTGCATCTGCAGTTTCCTTAGGGCTTTTTCCTCTGCGAAAATAGAATTAAATCTTTAAAAAAAAATTTTTTTTTTATTAAAAAAATTTTTTTTAAATAGAATTAAATCTGAACGTTTTCACAGCTGCAGCTTTCCCCTGGGTTTTGGGATTTTGATACTAGATCGGAATGATTTTCTTGGCCTTTCACGTCTTTTAAATTAGACCTAAGGCCGCAAAACACATGGGCTTTGCCGGCTGAGGCGATGGACTTCGTAAAGGAGCTTGGGGCCGGCGAGGTCATGGGAACAGTTTACGTCGCGAGCCGAAGATTCTCGGCCCGTGAGAAAGGAGGATTTCTTAGAGCCATTTCCGACAGGACATGAGATGTATTTTTGCAAAGGACAGTGTGCGGGGCTCAATCCCTCAGAGACCGCAGGGGCCCCGAGGACCCTCCTGGGGGACCCGGTGGCCACGGCCCCGCCCTCCGGCGCCAGCACGATGGGGAGCCGGGTGCTGCAGGCCCCCGGCTGGTCCGCTCGCTCCAAGCAGACGCTTCCAAGCATCCCAGCGGCCAGGAGCCAGCAGCTGGGTGCCCCCCACCCCAGGAAGCCGCGCGATGGGCATGGTGTGGGGACGGCGTCAGAGGGTGGGAGGCCATCACCGACAAAACGTCCCCAACAGCTGTCATTAACCTCCATGGAGCTGTCCCCTGCGCGGCCGGAACCCTGTCCCTGGCTGACGGGTCTTGTGGACCCAGGGCTCCAGGACATGTCACATTGCCTTGGTTGCAAACCCAGGATTGAAGCACCTATGGGGCCAGGCATAGGCAGCACCTGCGCAGGCCCCCGGGGCAGGGCGTCGCACTCCTCCAAGGCGGGACAGCCCCTTCCGGAGCTCCCCGACCTGTAGGAATTCCTGGGCCCCACGTGACACGCCCAGCCAGGATGTCCGGGACGGGGCTGGAGTTTGGGGCAACAAGGGACACAGCTCGGTCAGGTGCTCGTGGGGGGCGTGTGCCACGGCCCGGACGGTGGGATGGTCCCTGCAGAGCCCAGGTCCCCGGAGAGCGGGGCCCCTGCCGAGCGTCCCCCGCAGGTGCCCATCCCGCACCTGTCCTGGCCTCACCTGTGCTGTTACATTTGGTCCCCGGAGCCGCTGCTCCTCACAAGCCCTGGGTGGGCTGGGGGGGGCTAAGGAGGCACCCACTTGTGTCCTAGCAGGGAGTCCCCGGAGTTAGCAAGGCTCCAACCTGGGGGCACTGGGCAGGGGGGTCTGGGGGACCTCCTGCACCCGAGGACACCGTGACCCTTCCTGGCATGTACGGTATGTCTGCTTCTGGCCCTGGGGGAGGGGGCAGGGAAGCAGGCAGCTCCTTATGCCTCCCCCCACATGCTCCCCCCACCAGCACCCCCACCAAGTCACCCCACCACCTACCCCCCACAAGCACCCCCACTGGCTCCCCCCTCACCCTTTTACCAGCTCCCCTACGAGCTCCCCCACCACGAGCTCCCACCAGATCCCCCCCAGCTCCCCTCACTAGCTCCCCCCACCTGCTCCCCCCACCTGCTCCCCTACCAGCTGCCCCCCACTCCTCCCACTTACCCCCCACTCCCCCCACGCCCCCACTCCCTACCCACTCTCCCCACTCGCTCCCCCCACCAGTCCCCCACCGGCTTCCCACAGGTTCCCCCATGAGCTACCCTCGACAGGCACCCCCACTGGCTCCCCCTCACCCCCCACCAGCACCCCCACGAGGTGCCCCCCACCAGCACCCCCACTGGCTCCCCCACACCAGCTCCCCCCTACCGGGCTCCCAACACCGGGTCTCCCCCCACCCGCTCCCCCAGCAGCTCCCCCACCCACTCCCCTACCCGCTCCCCCACCCGCTCCCCCACCAGCTCCCCCAGCAGCTCCCCCAGCAGCTCCCCCAGCAGCTCCCCCCACCAACTCCCCCCACCAGCTCCCCCACCAGCTCCCCCACCAGCTCCCCCCACCAGCTCCCCCAGCAGCTCCCCCCACCAAATCCCCCACCCGCTCCCCCACCAGCTCTCCCCAGCAGCTCCCCCCACCATGGACCCCCATGGACACGTCCTTATCGCCCAGAGCCCACAGCCTCCATCGGGTCACGGGTGTCACACGCTCTGTGGCCTGCACACGTGTGTGACCTGTACCCCCAGGACTGGGTCCCTCAGAGCCGTCTCACTGCCCCAAGTACCCTGTGTGCCCAGCTGCTCGGCCCCCTGCCCCAACCCCTGGCAGCTCCTTATCTCGTTACTGTGTGGGTATCTGCCTTTTCCAGAAGGTCCCAGAGTGGGAGTCCCAGGGTCAGTGGCTCCAGCGCGGTGCTCCGCCCCGTGAGGTGCATCAGGTCGGGGAGCTCACTGCTGCGCGGCCCTAAAGCCTCCCCGTCCCGGCATGAGGCACCTGCGCAAGGGCCCTTTGGCCGCTTCCAGGCTTTGGCAACGATGGATGAGGTGCAGGGGCCGTGTGGACAGGAGTTTGCGATTTGTTTTATTTTAACAGCTGTTTTATTACGATACAGTTTACGACAACCAGATCCGCTAGCTTCCAGCGCCCGGTCCCCGGCCTCTGAGGGAATGTGCACGGAGGGTCGCGGTGAGGGTGATGGTCCTCCCCGCAGCCGCCCGGCCTCAGCTGCCGACTGCACCGCGCGGCCACATGTGCCTCGTCCCCGTGGCTCAGGGTCGTTGTGGAAACGCGCAGGTCTGCTCTTCGCTGTCCCGGCTGCACTCGGTGTCCGCAGGCCCGTCGACGACGTGGTGCCGAGCAGCCGCCTGGCTGTTTTGTTTGTTGGTGGGTTCCTTTAGGTCATGCTCGGAGCAGACGCAGACGTGCGGATGACAAGGGCACCCCAGGGCCGTGCCCGCTGCCCCGGCTGGGAGCCTGGGGACCCTGGAGCGGGTGGCCGCCGTCAGCCCTACGCGGGGGCTCCCCAGGCAGCCTGACCTTCCCTCGCTCCTCCTTCCTTTTGTTCCGGGGCCTTGGGGGAAACTGGCCACGCGTGGGCAGCCTCGGAAGCACCCCAGGTCCTGCGAAGAAAGGGCGCATGAGCCCAGCCGCACGTAACCCTGGGAGCCCAGGCGGAGGTGACCTCCCGGCCCAGAACACGGCCAGCCGCGCACGCGTCCTGCAGGCCACCCACTGGGGCACGTCACTGAGCAGCTGGCTATCAATCGGCCACTCTGCGGTTTGGACGGACGCTCTCGCTGACCGGACGCCTGCAGGCAGGTGCCCCATCGGGCGTCCTGGGTGGCATGGTACGGTCCCCAAGGTGACACTCGGGGGGCAGGGCCATTTCAGAGCCACTCAACTCCTGCAAATTAGGAAAGCTGCCCTCCCCTGGGGTCCCCGCGGCCCTGCTGGAGCCAGGCCTGACTCAGGCGGCCCCACTGCCCTGCAGGCCCGGACGCAGGCCCCGAGTGGAGGGGACTCTGTTCCAGCGTGACCTGGGGCGGCCTCTCCTTCCAAGTGCCCAAGAGCCTGTCCAGGGGTTGGCTGACTGGCGCGCTGAGCCACGTGGAGCTCCAAATACTGGCCAGGTGTGTTCTGGGGGGGCCGCAGGGAACCCCGCCAGCAGCTCACAGCCCTCCTGGCCCAGCGTCTCGGGCTGAACCCACTGCAGCAGGAAGGCAACATGTGCTCCCTCCCAGGATGGGTCCCGGCGGCCCTGGGTGCTTAGTCACTGCTCTGCGCCACGCAGGGAGCCCGGAGACCCGGGAGGCTCCTGCTGTCGCCTCCGCCTGGGCTGGGAGTGCGGGCCAGGCTCTCTGCTGAGGGTCGCCGATCAGTTGGCCATTCCCCACCGCGGCTGTGTGTCCTGAGGGTCAGGCCTGAGTTCTGGGCGGCCTGGGCCCTTAACCGACGCAGAGTGGGTGCCCACCGGGCATGGGTCCCAGAGGCGGCACGACACAGGGCCGGTGGCTCCACCAGGATCCCCTTGTGCTCCCGTCGGTGGGGATCCTCTTCTTGTCCCCCGGGCCCATCGGAGGCCCTTCTGTGCCCCAGCGGCCCTGCTCCAGTGGCTTGGAGGCCCTGTCCCCTCCCCGGTGGCCTGGGCACACCCCGCTCCCCCTCCCTGATGGATAGTGTGCACCCCCAATAACTGCTGCTGTGAGCAGCCCCTGGGCAGTTAGACCCGCATCCCGGCCTCTTGGGGAGCGTCTGCCCCCCGGTGCTCCTGCGGCGTCCTCCCGGTGACCGCCCCGACCCCAGACTCTGTGTCTGTCCTCCCCGGGGCCCTTCCCCGACCCTGGGCTCCACGTCTGTGCTCCCGGTGACCTTCCCTGACCCTGGCGTCCCAGTGGCGACGGCAGATTTCATTGGCTGCCGCTGGCAGACAGGGGGCCGAGGCCAGTGCATCTGTGCAGAGGGGATGGCATTTCCCTGGGCGCCGAGCGGGGAACGCACATGTGGGCCGGGCCAGATGTGCGCAGGGGGCTGCGTGGCTGCCAGCTGGCAGGGACCTGAGCTGGGACCCACCCTCCACGAGGATGGGGCATGCGTCCTTCCCGA